GTTAAGTCAAGTCAAGTTTATTTGTACTTTTCACGATACAAATCATTGCAAAGCAACTTTACAGCAAATTAAGTTTCTACAATATTTAGTGGTAGCTTATCAGTGGTGACTGTCAGTTAATATACATATGGCAGAAATGTACGGAAAAATCAATTTAAGACGTAATCAAACAGACGATGAACACTATTAACAGCAATTGTTATATAATGCAATCAAACTTATAGCGAAATGTGGTAGTTCTGTATGTTGTTTCAGGGTTGGCATCATCTCTTCTCAGGTGTTCTGGATCCAGACTGAAGCTTGTAAATCTTCCGTGGCAAAAAAAAGAGAAACAAATAGCGTAGTTGCTGTTCCAACCAAGCAAAATGTATTTGTTTAACCCAAACTAAAGAATAATAATGTGCATTTGATCAGATATAACTGCAGTACAAGATTATGAGATGCATTATTTGAATGCTTGGCCAAAGAGATGTGTCTTTAATCTAGATTTAAACAGAGAGAGTGTGTCTGAACCCCGAACGTTATCAGGAAGGCTATTCCAGAGTTTGGGAGCCAAATGAGAAAAAGCTCTACCTCCTTTAGTGGACTTTGCTATCCTAGGTACTACCAAAAGTCCAGAGTTTTGCGACCTTAGGGAGCGTGATGGATTGTAGCGTGGTAGAAGACTAGTTAGGTACTCAGGAGCTAACCCATTAAGGGCCTTATAGGCAAGTCATAATATTTTGTAACTGATACGGAACTTAATTTTGTAAAGTGCATGTTAAATCACAGATCATTAGATGAAATAATCACAATCAAGCAATTATGTAATAATCTTGTCAAGCCTAACCTTAAGACACTTTCTTAAGGTTGTCATTAATGATGCTTTTGAAAATTAATGGGTTTTTCCTAAACATATTAATAATGTCTTGCTTCTTTGACCAAGAAAACTACACCATCTGCTGCACCTGAGGGAATGAACTCCACTCAAGCCACCTGCACTCCCACTCAACTCCCTGATGACACCTCGACAGACACCCAAAATGGAAGCGCCGCTTCACCCGCCTCCCCTCCAGCCAGCGTCTCCACCGATGATCTCGTCATTGTCAAGACAGAAGACGTCGAGGAGGAGCTGCAGTGTGAACCTCTGGATCTCTCGCTCCCCAAGTCCAGCTCCGCTCAAGCCAGCACCACCACTAAGCTGCCGGTCTCCACCCAAAAGGAACCGCTCAACCTCACCTGTCTCAAGAAGCAACCGTTGCCAGGCAGCACCATCTATGTGACGCAGGCCGGCACGGGTCCATTAAACATTGTGACAGCGTCATTGCCAACGCTGATTGCCATAGCAGAGCCAGGTGGTGTTCCGTGCATCGGCACAGCAATATCCGGTAACAAACGAACCATCCTCATCCCTCAGCTCACCTACACCTACACCACCACCACCAACCCCAGCATCAAAACACCCGACAAATCTTTGACAGACACAATGGGGACGGTGATACTCAACAACTGTCCAGTAAGCACAACAAATACACACAAACGTTAGGTTCTGCACATACCTTTCATGATGACGTCATTCCCGACTCATTCGCTCCATCTTTTTTTCCCTCAGAAGGTGGCGGACACAGCTTCAGACTGTGTGTCAGAGGACCAGAATGATGAAGATTCACCTCTAATGAAGAAGAAAAGGAAGACCGTCGGTGGCCTGTACGCCTGCGATCTGTGTGACAAAATCTTCCAGAAGAGCAGCTCACTGCTGCGACACAAGTATGAACACACAGGTATGAAAAAACGCTTGTGAATGACACGATTTACAGAAACTAGACACTTAAAAATGTATTCATGTTAGATAATATTAGAAACCAAAATATACTGTACCTGTAATATACCTCAGCTGGTGGTACTTGCAAAATGTTGGGTTTGATTTCCAAAGAAAGCACATGCTGATATTTAAAAAAAATAAAAAAAATAAATGTAAATATAATGATAAATTAAAATAAAGTTTAAGATAAACCAGGGGAGTAATTTAATTAATCAGGAGAGGGACAGGCCCTCAAATAACAAAAAATAAATCAATATTATTAACAATATTATCATTCATATTATTTTTTTAAAAACTAAAGAAGAAAATAAAAACAAAAAAATAAATACAATAAATAAAAAAGAGGGACAGGACCTCGGATAACATAACATAAAAAAAACAGTTAGCTTTTCCTTAAGAAAAAAAAAAGCAAAAAGATTACAAAACCTTGCCTCCCTCTCTGTCCAAACACAAAGAAACAGGAAAAACAATCACCAGCTCCATATACAAAGCTCTCCATAATCAATCTATTTTAGGCAATCTCAGTAAAACATTTTATGTAGCATCTGGGTTAGGAGAAGAGAGAGTCTGTAGAAGCTTTTTTCCTGTTCTGGTCATGTAACTCCAGTATCACTATAGCAAGCAACACCTGTTTGCAATTAAAGTAGGAAGAAAAACATGAAACATATGGTGCAATAGCGCCACCTCCTGGTTACACAACATTTGTTTGCAAATGCAACCAGGTAAGATATTTGCCAGGGTTTTCAACCAGGAGTCTGTGAATATGAAAAACATAAAATGTAAGAAAATTTCATAACTTTTTTTTTAACAATTTTATAATCTTTGAATGAATAATATGATGAACCAGGGGAAAATATATAGATATAATTCATAAATACACAAATTAGTTTTTCGCTAATATAAAAGCATGAGGGTTTAACTCTTGCTAGAGAGAAATTAAGACAAAAGAATTGTAATTTTTCCAACTCTAGAGTAAAATATAACTATTCCTTTCCATTTCCATTTATTTTACAATGAAGTTGTATTACAGTAGTAATATATTATTAAATTTTGAAACCCCTGATCTAATGCAGTGGCATTCATACATTTTTAAAGTGTCCCAAAACATTTTCCTGCCACTGTACCTGTTAATATGCTAACCTCATCGTATTGCATCATCATCATTCCAGGTAAGCGACCTCACGAGTGCGGCATCTGTAATAAAGCTTTCAAACACAAGCACCACCTGATCGAGCACACGCGACTACACTCCGGAGAGAAGCCCTACCAGTGTGACAAGTGCGGGAAACGCTTCTCTCACTCGGGCTCTTATTCTCAGCACATGAACCACAGATACTCCTACTGCAAGAGAGACACTCACGAGCTGCCAGAGCAGATCAGCACCTCCACTCCTCCCTCTCAGCTCGACTCGGACGAGAGAGAGAGCGACGGAGAGGAGGAAGAGGATTTATCCGCTCTGGACATGAGCGATATCAGAGTGGTGCGAGTGGGAGAGGATTACGAGGATGATGAGGAGAGCGGCGGAGAGGAAGAGCAGGACCGAGGACATGAGGAGCAAGAAACAGAGGAAGGAGGAATGGTGATGGAAGTGGAGCTCGGAGATACTGACACTTTGGAGGAGGAAACCGTGGAAGCGGAGGATGCTATGGAGACGGAGGAATCAAAGGAGGACGACACCGTTCTCACAAATAATGAAGAAAACACAGAGATGGCAACCGTGGACTGAAGGATGAATGCTCTTTTTACAGTCACTCACGTGGGACTAATGAAGGAGGTGATGAGCTCTTCATCGTAAACTTACAGTCATCGGTTGCAATGTAAACTGTGTCTCAGCTCTTTACGGTGTATAAAACCCAGGTGTGCCTGATTTACAAAACAATATTTCCTTGTTTTTAAAAAAAAAAACAAAGGAGAAACAAAAACTCCAACTCGACTAGACTTCGTAGAACTTCAAAGTTTCAGTTGTTTGGCTTTGTTCCGTTACTGAACCGCCCCTGGTATCTACATTTATCAGTGTTCACGTGTTTTTGTTGCTCTGTACAGTCAGATTTCTATACCTTTATATTTGCCAATGAAGTATTTAAAAGTTTTGAGAAACAAAACTAAATTCTGCACTGCAGGTATAACTGGTTTACTTACGGGGGAGAATCTCATGAAAACTGTCAAGAAGGGTCATATTTCACTTGAAAAGTCAAAAGAAAAAACATTAAGAAATTACATTTGGCATGAAGACAATAAAGCCTATTTTTAAGACCATCACATACATTTTTTAAAGAATACTTTAAAAACAATTGTAAATATACATTGATTTTAATTTATGCAATAAATTTGAATTCATGCTGATTTTAATTGGGGGGGGGGGGGCAAATTATTTTTTGGGG